TATTTTTTGTCATCATTTGATTATTAACAATAAAACTCGTTTACTCATACGTTATTTTATAATTTGGCTCACTTAATTTAACGGTTTTTTACTGCGAAGTAAAATACGCCTCGCGAACTTGATGTCGCCGACGTCCACATGTGGTCTAACGCCGCCACTGATGCGACCGTTTCGTACGCGAGTAGTAGAACTAGGGATGAGGCGTAAATCTCCGACCAGGTTTTTACTTCGAAGTACGTAAACCAAGTACAAGCCCGAAATACTCGCAACACCTTCAAAGGTTTTTTACTAGGACGCGTCCGCCTCGTACGTACGATTGACTACCAAGTAAATACTTCGAACAGCACACTCATTAGACACATCTTATTTACAACAGTATAAGCAACATAAAAATAAAAATACTTGCATCCGACTACCAAGTAAATACACTTCGAACCGCTCACTCATTATGAAATTAGTCTTACTTATGAGAATAGGCAACTTAGTACTCTTTCTCTCCGACTCTGAGGTGTTTATAGATGACTTCTGTAACTTCATCGCAAAACTATTCTGATCTCTTAATAGAGTTGAGGTACCAGCTGAATGGACTGTTCCAAACCATAACTTCAATGTCTTTAACATATTTGCTTCCAATTTTGCCAAGAGGATTTTACCATTATCATAAACAAGTCAGACGTGGCGTAAGATAGTTGTCCTATATCCAATCTTTTTAAATATTGCATAATGGCTGCTGATCTACCATAATTAAGTCATTAAGAAAAATATTAACACCTGACTCTAAGGATGGAGTACGTCATTTGTGATCAATCTTTCTACCTAGAAATTGAAAGCCGCAGCTTCGGCAATTGTGGTAACACGTTGTCCTCCTATTGATAGTTCGGGATCATAAGAGGTATATTTGGTGTCTCGTCTACCCAGGCAAAGACAGCAGCACTTACTTGGTTTTGTCCTCAGTTCGTTAGTTCATGTACAGTCAATTTGTTTCAAAGCATGTCTTGGTAACTTGCAAAACTTACTTGCTAGCCGTGCTACCTTAGGTATGGCCTCCCTGGCGTGCCTGCAGTCTGCAAATCTAGCCCAGTATTCGTTATGTTGTCGCAGGTATCGTTCCCTAATCCAACCTTGCAGCAGTCGGAATGGGATCGGTACGATTGGTTATGGGCCAAATACGACAGTGTCCGACCCTCTCCTGACCAGACAATCTGCCGCATCATTGCCCCTTGACCCACTATGCCCTTTTATCCATTAGAGTATGACTTTGTTTACGTTGCCTACCTCCATAAATTTGCAGGGGCACTCGAAAACCAGGCCGGACGACATTATATTGTTGTCTAGCACCTGGAGTACCGAGGCACTGTCAGAGAGTATCCGGATATGCTTACCCCTGATTGCACGTCGTGTGATGGCCTCTGCTGCTGTGACAATGCCTATACACTCCGCCTGAAAGACTATATTGAAGATACCCAGGCTGTTTAATATATGAATGTTAATATCGTCCGAGAACACACCTGCTCTACTACCCGAGCTGGTTTTGGAGGCGTCTGTGTATACCCTACCCTTACCTCCTTATGCAGTCCTCGATGTGGATTGTCTTCATATAGTTGTATTCTATATTTTTTGTCAAATACGTACTGTCTAAGTATCATGTCGTGTCGTGTATGTGTTAGTATTGCGAGGTTGCCTGCAATGGCTAAGATGGAATCTGTGTATTTATTGTTTATTTTAAACCAATAACCCCATCCTTTTTCATGACTTATTAGCTTGTCTATAAGAATATTTAGAATTATATTAAATGCTATTGGTGACTTGACAGGCAGCAGCCCTGAAACATCCCTACATTATTTTGCAATGGTTTTGTGTGTTACTTGTTTGCTGCTATGACAAATTGTAATTGTCGATGACTACAGAAGGACAGTTATTTGTCTCTGGTGTACTTACTGAGTAGATCTTTTTGAATTTCTTTCTAGAATTTTTTGGAAAAAATTGTGGGACAGCGACTTTACAGTGCTTACTTTGGGGCTAGGCTAATAAGAGTGAGTGTTACATATATTAATTAATACTTTGGTTTTTTGAGAAACCCTCAGCAACCTTACACTTTTCCAAGATAAAAAGTATCCTATGTCTTTTCAGGTCATAAACTTCATCCAAATCCATTCAGTAGTTATTGCTTGATTGAGTAACAAACATACAAACTTTCATATTTATATTAGTAAGATTAAAATAATGTTGAAAATAAAAATGTAATAATATACACTTTATTAACTTATATATGACATACTTGCTGTGCGCTTTTGGTGTAGTAAAAATTCAGCCAAATCTGCTTTTGCTTTGGCCTCCCTAATTCTCTCATGTAAGAGATCTTTTTCCAGCATGTGAATTTCTTCTGCTCGCTTTTGTCGTTCTCTAGATTCCCTCTCCAAAATTGTATTTTTTAATTTTTGATTAGAAATTGCTTGATTGGAAAGTTGTTTGTTGGATGAGGAATGCGATTGACTCAAGGAAGAATGTGGTCTAGTAAATGAGTTCAGTGGAATGGATGGTTGATTAGGGTGCTGCATGGGCTGAGTTGCTGATGGGGTTGATGAAGGCAGCAGGATAGACAGTTTTAGGTCTGTATCAGTAGGAGGGAAATGTTGGGTGGGCTGGGATTTAGAGCTGAAATCTGTACATGCTGAAAGTTCTGATTGGATGCGGTTTGGCTCAATTTTAATTTGGTCACCAAAGATCAAATCTAAAAATAAAAGCAAGGCATTGTATGTTTTCAATTATATGTTTTTAAATATTTCCAGCAATGAATATGTGGATTAGAGCCTGAATTCTTATCAATTATAAGTAAGTATGGAAGCACTCTTCTCTTGTATTACAAGTAGAATATTGAACCTGAATTGGTGCATCTGATTTGAGATATTACAATAAATATACATACCTTTTGAGTCTGAATCGATAGCATTGTCAATGCCAAGAATCAACTCTGGTGCAACTTCAACTATATTTGACTCAATATATGTATCACTGATTGACGGCTCACTTCCAGTGCCAACACAATAATGCCTCTCTTTTGTAATCGCAGTCCGCTGCCTCTGTTTCAAATTCATCCACAACCGTCGAAGTTGTTTACGAGTGACCTACAGACAATGCCACTTCTGTTGAGATTATTTTCATTTATGGAATAACGATGGTACCATCAAAAGCAGTAGGTAACGTCAAATGAGGAATTCAGATTTTGTTGTCACTGCAATATGGAATATTTTGCACTATATTTAAATAATTATAATTTAAGAAGTACCTGACTAGTGGCGTAAGGACTGCCATTAAATTCGATGGCAATTTGCTCCCAAGCTGCATTTTTCGCCCTTAAGGCTGCCCCATCGGTATCTTTGTTCTCAATTACCTGTTTATATTTTTTTAAAATATCTACAAAAACTTTCTTCTCCATATTACCGAAATTTCTTTTTTTTGTAGCCATTGCTCAATGTGTCCCTAAACTGAAACCATAAGACAAAAAAACAACACATACCCATTCAGAAAGTAATTACTCCGGGAGTTTAATTAATAGTATTTTTCTGTATTTATAAATAAATTCAAATTCATTTTTTTAAGATTCTCCCTTTTCAAGGAAGGTAAAGGGAACAATGCCCATACAGCGAAGTCTTAAGTTATTTTAATCTTTTTTTTACATTAGAATGTTTTTTTTTAATTTTTTATTTCTTCTTCTTTAGGAATAACAGGGTAAGGTACAGCGAACTCGTGTGAAGCTTCGTTCGATGTTTTACTTTCGATAACAGATTCAAGTTCCCCATCATTTTCTTCTAAATCAGCTGGTAGCTTTCCAATTACAGCATTATAGCGCATTATGCGGCATAATGCTTAACATTGAGTGTTCCAACTGCAGCAACGCTTCGCACAATTGAGCACTCTCAAAAGTATTGCTTTTGTGTGATGCGTGCAATCGTACCAACTCAGAGACAGAAAATTAACAAGTGTTTTTTTTTTTAAGTTGGCATTGATCGAAATGTTTTATTTATATGTTATCGTTAGTAATATTATTTACTGTTGAAAAATTATTAAAACTTTCGTTTCATCATAGTTTTTTTTAAATAATGAAAGTTAATTCAAACTGTGTTAAAAATTAAATATAAATATGGATGAAGGTACAAACATTGACTTTTTTTTTCAACACTGAACTTAGCGCACTCTGCTGGTGCATTTTAAAACTAATTCACGTTCCAATTAAGCATCAGCATAATTCGGCATTGTGCGGCACTGAGTTTCATTATGCTCTGTAATTGGAAAACCACCGATAAGTCCAATAACTCGTCAGCAAGTGACATAATTATTTGATAAAATCAAAGTTCCTGATTTATATACTTTTGTACTTACTGAACTGAATTGAATTTTCCAGTGTATAATTTTTCTTTTTTTTTTTGGTTAAGTTCTCCTTTTTCAGGGAAGGCAAGGGGAACAATGCCCATACAGCCTAGTCTTAAGTTAAATTATTCTATTTTTCTTTTTACATTAGAATGTCGGTGTGACGCATTCTAATGTTTCTTGAAGTGTTTGGCGCGAAATGGCGCCAATAGGGAAGAATGGAACTAAAAAAAAAAGAAAAAGAAGTTTGTGGCGGGATTTCATCGAGTGTGGTTGGCGTCTTATTTTAATTATTCTTAAATTCGTTCATAGTGGATATTGTGAAATAAAATTGGTGTGATTTTGTGTTAAAACTGTCTGCGTAAATGAAGAATTAGTAGAATCGTCAATGTATACGCTATTCCGGTCAAGTGGACGTGAGATTTTATTGTAGTATTGTCTACCTCACAGAAGCTTATCGAAAAAGCCAGCTCGATACATTTCGTGCCAAGCACTTCAAGAAACATTAGAATGCGTCACACCGACATTCCAATGTAAAAAGGAAAACAGAATAATTTAACTTAAGACTAGGCTGTATGGGCATTGTTCCCCTTGCCTTCCCTGAAAAGGGAGAACTTAACCAAAAAAAAAAGAAAAGTAGTAAATACACTGGAAAATTCAATTCAGTGAGTACAAAGGTATAAAAATCAGAAACTTTGATTTTATCAAATAATTATGTCACTTGCTGACGAGTTGTTAGCTGATTTAGAAGAAAATGATGATGGGGAACTTGAATCTGTTATCGAAAGTAAAACATCGAACGAAGCTTCACACGAGTTCGCTGTACCTTACCCTGTTATTCCTAAAGAAGAAGAAATAAAAAATGTTTCGATACGAGAGTTAGCAAAACTCAGAGACTCTGATCGTCTCAAACGAGTATGTAGATCAATAACGAGTCATAATGCTATTTCACATCACAACTCTCGATGAGCAGATATGATTAAAATGTATTGATTTTAACTTCTAGGTAATGATCGAAGTTGAGCAGAACGTGGGAAATAATAGAAAGAAAATTGATGTAATGGGATTGATGGAGTCTGATCCTGAGTATCAATTGATAGTGGAGGCTAATAATATTGCTGCTGAGATTGATGGTGAAATTGGTTAGTATTTATCTAGACATGTTTGTTAGCAAAAACATAAAAAAAAAATCAATTGTATTCAGTGACTATATATCTCAATTATTGTGTAAGTGCCACATTGATATTGTGAATAAAATATGTTTTGTATTTGTGACTGTATTTATTGTCAATTCAGTAAAGTACACAACACAATTACTGCATGGAATAACTTTTATGTTATACCTATTTCATTTTTATTGTATCTAATGTGGATGTTACCAATAACCTAATAAATTTCAGTGTTAGGTAAGTTGTGAACAGATACCCTTAATGTCACTTTGCAGCTATTATCCACAGATTTGTCCGAGATAAATACCAAAAAAGGTTCCCAGAATTGGAATCATTGATTGTTACTCCTCTCGAGTATATCCGTTCGGTGAAAGAACTTGGAAATGACCTAGATCGAGCCAAAAACAATGAGACTCTACAAAGTTTTTTGACACAAGCAACTATTATGATAGTTTCTGTGACTGCATCAACTACTCAGGGGTAACTGTTTAAAATGTTTTTTCTTAATTAAAATATTTGTGGCAGCTTCATGAACTTTAGATTAGATTTCTTCAGTGATCCTCGCTTGGGATTTGGCCAATATCTGGTGTTTCTGACCAAAATTTGCTGTCTATGTTTGACCAGTGAGGGCTTGTCTAGGGTTTTAACTCTGCTTATGTTGTAAGATAATATAGTTTGTAATATCTGTAGGATGATGGACATGTGACGGAAGAAATGAATATAAATAATGGCTATATTTGAAGCAATTAAAAAAGATATTTGGGGTACCCTCATTGATACCACACTCGCACAAGGAACTGTCCCTCACCCTAATCTCGGTTAGGAAAATGGGAGTACATATGTGACCTAGTCTTAGTCTGCATAATGTGGAAATAAATCTTCTTTTGGGAAACCATGGAGATGAATATACGCATAGAACTTGCTTTTGGATTTACTTGAATCTCTATACCAGTTTGACCAGGGACCCATGCCAAAATAATTTGTAAACTTAATGAACTCTGTGCAGTGTATTATCGGGATTTTACTTTATTGTTTATTTTTCAGAAAGCTATTGTCTGATAATGAACTTGCTGAAATATATGAAGCTTGTGATATGGCTGCAGAACTTAACACTTTCAAATCGAAGATCTATGAATATGTTGAAAGTCGTATGACATTTATTGCTCCAAATATTACAGCTATTGTTGGTAAGTAAATTTTCTGTTCTTTGATTTTAAGCTATACAAGACAGAATCAATACAGCACTATATATTTAATCTGAAATTTATTATGAGTAGAGCATTTTATAATATTATGTATAATTATATTGACAGGGGCGTCAACAGCTGCTAAAATATTAGGTATTGCCGGTGGTCTCTCAAAACTATCCAAAATGCCAGCATGTAATGTACTGACACTTGGTCAACAGAAGAAAACTCTTTCTGGATTCTCACAGGCTGCAGCACTGCCCCATACTGGTTTTATTTATTTCTCACAAATAGTTCAAGATACTCCACCTGTAAGTACATAACTTTTTGAAATAATTTATTTTATAAAAACAAAAATTATGATGTAAAACATATTTTTTATTTCCACTAGGAATTAAGATTCAAGGCTGCCAAGTTGGTGTCAACAAAGCTTACTTTGGCATCTAGAGTTGATGCTTGTCATGACTCCACTGATGGACACATTGGGCGACAACTTCGAGAAGAAATTGAAAAGAAACTAGACAAGTTGCAGGTGATAAAGAGATTCAGATTAAAATTGTAAAATGGATACAGGCTATTTGTATAAGAACTGCCCTTTTAAACTGGATGGTTTTCCATTCTTTTAGGGTGCCATGTCGTAAGATACTAAGGTCCATATTGATCTCACATTGATTCATGTCGCTCTCAACTCTGAGATTATGATCTTGAGATACTGTTTTCATACAAAACAGATCTTAAGATCATTTTCAACATTGCTTTCAGAGTGGAGAGTGATCTATTAATACGGGCCTAAGTCTCTGCTGTATAACTGTCTGTTTGGTGGTGGGCTGTATTATGAACTAAATAAATATTGAACTGTAACAATATGATAATGACAAAAACTTAAACATCTAACTACACCCTACAGTCATATATTTTGTTTGACCTAGTGTTAAATCTTATGACTGGACAGTTTATCCAGTCCAAGCAAGGTCTGTCAAATTATGTCAGTGACAATAAACTGTCCAAGGGAGGCCAGTCAAATTATGATCTCATTTTGCTTATCATCAAATAGTGCAACCCATTTTTTACCTAACTGGTACTTTGACTGACCAGATTAAGTAAGTTAAGGTACAACTCGTGCTAAGCCTTTTTTAATAAATTTCAAACCCTTTTTCGTAATCACAATACTGAAAAGGAAGTAAATTTTGATCCCAAATGTTCTATATTTTGAAAAGATAGCTGTTGCATAATACTATTTTATTAATAGTAATATGTAGATATAAAACTATTCTTTATATATGTAATAAAAATATTATTTTAAAACATATACTCTCTGTTTTTTATGTAGTTATTATCATATTGTGTATGTTCTGTCTCTCATGTTTTTAATTTACTTGTATGTCTTGTATGGTGTATAACAATAAAGAATATTATTATTATTAGTTTACCAGGACAGATGCTGGTTCTGTCAAGCGGAAGTTCAAAATTACTTTCGATGTTTTTTTTAATATAAAATTCTTGCACTTATATACGGGTAAAAATATATGCTTATATAATATGGATGCGGAAAGTGCAGGATCGTTGTATATGGAAATTCCCTGAGAAGGCCTATGTTCAGCAGTGGACCTCCATCGGCTGATGTTGATGATGATTCAAAAATATATACAACAAAACTTTTTTTTATCAGGAACCACCGCCGGTGAAATTCGTAAAGCCCCTCCCTAAACCGATAGAGCAGAGTCGCAAGAAGCGCGGCGGGAAGCGCGTGCGCAAGATGAAGGAACGATACGCGATGACGGAGTTCAGAAAAAACGCGAACAGGCTCAACTTTGCTGACGTAAGTGTAACATTCATCAACTTTAAGAGCTACTTGTTCTTTCTTTACAGGGACCAAAATACCGTTTTATTGCTTAGAAATAAAAAGTTATTTGATTTAGGAGTGAAGATATTGTTAGTAATTTCTTTTTAGTTTTATTTTTCTCCTTCTTCTTATTGTGAAAGGCAAACGCAAAGGATTGGAAGTTCTTGCGGTGCATTCTTGCGAGTTCGCAGATATTTGCGATGAGCATGAGAAGGAGAAGAAAGAGATATTTCAAAATCAATATCCCAATAAATTTGTTCTTTAGATGCAATTACAATACTCACTGGTTATTTTGTAACTGCTGTTATTGTTTCAACCCAATTTTTAAACCAAACATAAATCATAACAGCATGCTTCTTATCTGCAGTGATAAAAAGTGATGTATTTCGATATGCCGTAACAATTAATATGGAATGTTTTAATGAAAGTTTCGTGATTACTTGTAATCCGCAATAGTTGTAATTGCATTCGCCGTATATTCATGGAGAGCATCGCTAATTAGCCGAATACTTGTATTAGTATACCGACCAAACATTTTGAAACGGTGCAATACTCGCATGTGGTTGAGTGGCACGTACACCGTTTACGGTACGTTTTGGTGTGTGTGGACCCAGCTCGTTACGGATTATGACGTACGGTTGTTCGGCCGCGGCGTCTTGTTGAATTTCAAATGATTAGCCAGAATGATTTTTTTGCGGCGTTCAAATAGACCGGAACTTGGGCTGGTGAAGCGCGCGGATGTCCGTGCGGAGACCGTTGTACGCGTCTGTGAATAACGCTGACATACGGTCCATTAGGTGGCTAAACCTGAATGTCGATTCTACTACGCTAACGTAAAAATCGTGCCTCAATAGTGGTTCAATAATATTGGTTTTTGACACAGTTACTGTTACTAAAATTAAAATAAAATAATACATATAGATATCAATAACAAATGAATAACCAAATATTGTGACTTTTTGTTTAAGTAACGATAACTGTGTCAAAAATCGAAACTAGTGAAACACCATTGAAGCAATTATTTAAACCAGGGATGTTACGGAGCTTCGACTCCGATTCCGTTAAGTCGGAACTTCCGATTATTATTACACCTTCGGTTCCCCATTTCGGTTACGAACTGGTTCATACCCGTCGCGTAGGGAGTCTGTGTTAATAATGAGTAAATTTAAGTGAAAAAAGGTTAAGCATTTTATTGTTTTTATTTTTTCTTAAATGCAAAAATATCTCTCTTTTACCACTTGTGACTCTGCCTCTGACCCTGACTCTGCCTCCGACCCCGATAAATCAAATTTAAAAAGTTCGACTCCGACTTCGGTTCCGATAAATTTACTTCCGTTACATCCCTGCTTTAAACTAAGCAGAATCGACAGCCTGTATAAATATACAGCGAGTGCAACTATGCGCAAGTTTTAGTTCAGTGACATCGCGCATGCTTCTACATCACATCATCCATTTCGTTTACTGCGTCGTGACTTGCACTAACTTCATAAATAATAAATAATTTTCCAACACACAGCAATAAGCCTAGCCCCAAAGTAAGCACTGTAAGATTTGTTTTATGGAATGCTAGGGTTACAGTTAGAATACATCTATGTACTTAAATAAGTATATTTATATAGAAATACATATTAAACATCCATGATTGCAGTACAAATGCTCGTATTTATCACAAAACATCTTCCTCCACCGGGATTTGAGCCCGGGATCTCTCGAGTCGGCGTCACCATGAAACCCACGGCGTACAAACCACTCGGCCACGGAGGTCGTCAAATTTATCTTTGTTGTGAAATATTTGCAGACAAATGGATTTATTAGAATATGGACACTGCTAGATTGTCATTTAAGAGAGGTAGTATACTAGCGGATGTTCCGCTCGAATTGGAGCGTCCGTCTTGGGTAGTAACCTCCACCTCATAGCAGGCTCTCTCTTATTCCACCTTCCCCTTTCCTTCAGAGGACCACGCGCGCTGGCCTTCGGTGTCACCGTCTAACTGTGGCCACAATTCCAACACGTACAAATAAATTTGGTGACTCATTTCTTTGTCGCAATATCCGTAAATGTAATGCTCTGCCTGCTCACGTGTTCCCTCCTTCTTACAACCTGGGATCCTTTGAAAGAGGCGTGAAGAAGCAACATGCAGGCCGGCAAGGTGAGGATGGCTGGTGTGGCAGGTAGAACTGCTGTACCAGCTATCTTTACGTCTGGACTTCACCATCACTCAACGGCCCGAGCGATAACTCTGGTACTACAAGCGTCTATAGACTATGGATGCTTACCATCTGGAGGATCATATGCTTGTTTGCCGCGCTGTTAAGGCAAAAAAGTCATAAAATAGTTATGGATTAATTAAGAATTCTTCACTAATTGCTATTACTCGAATAGACAATTTTGTATTGGCAGTATTATTTTTATAGAATTTTTGAGACTCTAATTCTGTAAAAACGCCGCAGATTAAGTCTAACGGCGAGCGTATCTAATTGTTTAATGTTCGCGAAATGATAATCAAAGTGTGTTAATGCCACATCGGCGGCTGATCTCAATTATGCCTAGGCACCTGTGTGATACTTATTCCAAGAGGCGTAAAATGCAAAGAAATTTGTGGATATAAAACTAGTTCACTTTTTCTGCCAATGTAGCGTGCTAAGTGGATTAAATTGAGCAGCAACCCAATAACAACTACAACTTGTTCCTAATAACCTAATAATATCTTTAGAGAAACTTTTAAATGCAGATGCAAAAAAGAAAATAATAAAAGTACTTATTCAAATGTGAGCATACAGATATTTTATTATTTCAACAATAAACTGCTAGATATTAAGAGATACCTATACTGCTTATGTTAATGATTCTATCCGGTTGCTAAAATGACGATTTGCCTAGCTAAACTATGAAAAGTGCGAGTTTTTAATTTGTCTGGTAACCACCAACTCACCTTGCCAGTCTGAATTTCTGAAAACTTACTAATCCACAGAAACACAATATCACCAAAACTTAATTTACTGTGTCGCCTGTAAGGAAGAGTTTATTTCGTTTCGTTTGCTCGATTTGCCATAATTCGTTTCGTATGATTGCAATTCAATCTGTACCCTTGTACGAGTTTTATAATTACGAAAACTATGATAGTTTTCGTGAGTTTGCATTCATACTAAGGGTACTAATTTTATAGTTTTCTTTTCAATACAAAACAGTGTTTATATACTATCATTAAATCATTTGCGTATTCTTAAATTTTAAGTATATTTGGTTCCTTTTCACCAAAATGGACATAGAAACATAATTTACAATTACGAAAACTATGATAGTTTTCGTGAGCGCGAACTCGTACTAATGGTACTGTTATACCTACCTCTACAACTCTTCGTCTTAACATTATTCAAAAATATTTTCGTCCTGCAGATTGAAGACGACGCGTATCAAGAAGACCTTGGCTACACTCGCGGTACGATCGGCAAGTCGAGCACCGGCCGCGTCCGTCTACCGCAAATTGACGAGAAGACGAAGGTGCGGATCAGCAAGACCCTGCAGAAGAACCTGCAGAAGCAAAATCAACAGTATGGTGGCGCTACCAGTATTAGAAGGCAGGTGTCGGGTACGGCGTCTTCCGTGGCTTTCACGCCACTCCAGGTTAGTAAAGCCTTAAATACTAGCGGCCGTCCGCGACTTCGTCCGTGTTAACTTAATTTTTTTTAATCTCTCAAGAACCTGGATCTCATCCTATCAATTAAATCAATCAAAAGTAAGATATAAGCACTGGAAATCAATTTCTAAATGAATTCAGCGAGACACAACCGTCAGCAATAGCCCGCCAGCAATAGGCAGCCTTTGTGATATTGATTCGTTGGTGGGAGAAGTGGTGGGAGGCGCCCGAAGTGACGGCACAGTGGTAGCATGCGCGCGGTACTGAACTGTACTTGAACATTGTAGCATTACTTTATTTTTCTAAAATAAAAGTAGCCTAAGTTATTCCTTATTACATCAGCTACCTGCCAATTAAAGTCACATCAAAATCGTCCCATCGAACAGACAGACAGACAAAAACTGTAATAAAATATATTTTGGTGTATGTACCGTATATATATTCATATGCATGTAGTAAAAAGCGGTTATTTCAATATTACAAACAGACATTCCAATTTTATTTATATGTATAGATAATATATAAATATTTCTAACACACACCAATTAGCCTAACCTAAACCTAAATTTAGGATACGAATGTTATAGGAGTAGGTTAATGAATGAATACATATTATTATACTGGTGTCGATTCTGACGTAATTCTCTAAACCTGAACTAAAATATGACAATAGGATATCCTTGTCATTCTCTATACAGAATGAAAATGAGAGAATGACGTTAAATTTAGTTTTAAGTTTCGAGAATCATGCCAGAATCGACACCAATATAATTTTAGTGCGTATTATTTTAAAAGGTGGCGCTGATTTTTTTGACTGTTTTTAGTTTATCTGAATGAGATCTAAAAGATGAAAATAATTCAGGAATTAACGAGGTATATAAAGAGGTTCCCCAGATACTGCTTTACGATATTAATACTTATATTTGATAAGACGATATAAAGTATATATATTCGTATTTAGCTTTATACCGCCATTCGTGTTTTTCATTTTTCCCAAAGGTTGACTGGGAGAGAATGCTTTTAGCATTAAGTCCGCCTTTTGCACCAATGTTATATATTTATATTTTGGTCAATAAAGTTTAAAAATAAATAAAGCGAGTTTCCGTCAATACAAACGCATAAGAGATGTTCTGCAGTACAATGGACTGGCTGATTGAACTGAAACTGATTCACTCCTATAAGCCAGACAAGTTCTTTAGAAACGAGCTTGACATTGTTTATATTTACTGAAAATCAAAGTAGGTTATAATAAAACTAACAATATTTGAGTCTTTATTAGTAAAATTCTCGTAGTAAAATCTCATCACAGCGCGACACCCGCTGAGTCAAACTTTGTTTTTTGAAATTACCATGGCTGCATGGCTATTTGTAAGAGTTGATATAAAAAGCTGTTGTCACGCGATCATAATACCAAAAAGCTCTTAAATGCCAAGATACGTTACGGCGGCACTTCACTAGAGACTATTCATGGTCGCTATTTGTAAGCTTGACATCAGTCTGTCCTTTTCCTTATAAATCATAATAAGGACAGACTATTGTCAAGTTTACAAATAGCAAATACGAATAGCCAAGTAAGGACAGACCATTGTCAAATTTACGAATAGAAAATACGAATATGTAGCTTTCATTAGTAAGTATTATTTTTTATGTTATATTTTAAACGGTATATTAGATGCTAGTACAAGAACAGAGTGAAAAAGTCGCCTTGTAGGTACTAATGTAAACGAAGCGTAAGTGCTTACATTGTAGCAAGAGGAGATCAATGAGGGCTACCGTTTTCTGCCTCACCAGATGGCGCCACTGTTGAGTGAGGTCCTAAATTGTAACTTTTAAAGTTTATTAATACGCACATGAAATCAAAGGTTACATTTAGATCGTATTTTAACACAAAAGAACCATATCCTAAACATAATAGGCCATGCCACAGTGACGCGCAGTTACGTTTTATTCGGAAAAAATGGGAACATAATCATTTTTCTAAGCTCAAATTTTTAATAACTGACATTCATTGCCACATAACTCATATTTGCCATAATTAAGCCGAATTGTTACCAATTATTCACAACATTATTTTAATTAGAAATAAACCCGCGTAGTCAACCAACAAGCAATAACATTTGACATTTCGGAGACCTCACGCTACACTAGCGCCTCTAGCGGCGGATTCATACGCGATAGCCCTCATTGTTTCTGCATATCTCTTTATTTTATAAGTGCTGTTTTATGTAGTCGGTGCTCGCGCTTACGGCTTCATGAAATAGTTGGTTTATTAAATAAACTTTTATCCACTATTTTACTCCATTTAAGTTTTATTTTGCTGAAAAAAATAGCATATGCCCTTCTTTAAGGTCTCCTTTATCTCCATACGAAAATTTTAGAATATGGTTTCGGCTCTTATGATGTGCTGGTTACTTTCGAATTTACAACATTTGTATGACATGGATGTACATGAACTGCGGTTCTTCACCAATAATTAAATTTGACAGGTCGAATAAACAATAACATCGACAGGCTTTTCACTAGTTCATTGATTCCGACCCGCATGTGGTTAATTACCAGTTGCGACCGTGTATAATGCACAGTATGTTAACTGTGCGAGATTACATAAACACGGGTTATGTTTATGATGAAAAAATGTGCCGTGCCAATGTATGTATGTAGGTACTAACAAGCCGCAATCTTATTGAATGTGATGTTGTTTACTGATTCCATCTCTCGCGTGTGAAGAAGCAATACTTTTAGAATCTTGACATTTGATTTGACAAGGTTTAATAACTGCGATGTTTATGCACTTTTGAGTGTGTGCGTGCGTTTTTGATTTAATTGTATAGTGATGTGAGATGTACACTTTATTTTTAAAGGGACACTCAATATTGTTGGCATTGTACGATGTTTTGAACTCAATTGATCTTCTTAAGATGCGTACCTATAAAATAAAAATATAGCTGATGAATGAGGAATATAAAAATATGTTGATAAATGATGGATTTTAAAACTAACATTCGTTACATAAATCTTGAATTTTAGGTACCGCTTTGTGTTGATATTACTTCCGCTGAATCTAAAATCTGGTAGTTATCTAAAATTCAGTTAAATCAGTTATGTAAAATTGTAAAACTGAAAAAATCCACTGATTAGCACGCAGTAGATCGGATTTTACAATGGGGCAAATGTAAATGAAAGAGTAAGTAGCAATTTCAGTTTATATTTGCATGCGACATTATCAGTGAACACACTTGGATATACGCGCGCGCATATAACATTGTTAAGGCGCGCACTCTTCGACGGCCAGTATAAGGTACATGCGAATTTGAACTTTAACTGCACTGTACTCAGACGTCAATTGATGTTTAATTTTGATTATATACTGTCATTTTCTTTGCAAGAATAAAATAAGACTGCACGTCACATTAACAAACATTAAATTTTTTAAGTCTCGAAGGCCCGCTTGCGCTAAATGAGATGGTTCAAAAGTGGTACTCGGTTTCCAGCAGCGACAAAACATATAGCATTTGAAAGATTGTTTTTTATTATAACATGAAAAACTTTTTTTTATTTATCTCCGATTAATTATAAATCGTGTTGAAATATTGAACATTTTTGTTAGGATGCTGGCCACTCTGTCATAAGTAACGTCATATTTTATAACGGCAGCTTATAACGTCAACTTAATCACTATGACAAGTGTCATTCAGTAGAGTCATGCATGATATTCGTGAAGTCGTGCTGAACTTATTACACCAAATAATGATTGATTCTTTTAGAAATAAAATACCCACAAAATACCTAATAATGTAAGGAAAGATGAATAAAATAATTATCACTGCTTTATTTACCTATTCAATAGAAAAATTGGATACTTTGACAAAAAAAATAGATAAATAAACTTGCCATTTGCCAAACAATAATTATATAATCTAAAGAAAAGTTTACTAGAAAAAAAAAAATCCACGCGGACCAGGCAGCGGACGGGACTCGAACCCACATCCTTTTTTTTTCTAGTAAACTTTTCTTTAGATTTAAACATCTAGCAGTTAAATGCTTAAAAAATAAATAAAATCATAATAATTATATACTTTTATATCATTATAATTATTTAAATCTAAAGAAAAGTTTACTAGAAAAAATTGGATTGAATTGGATTTTTTCTAGTAAACTTTTCTTTAGATTTAAACATCTAGTAGTTAAATGCTTAAAAAAACATAACAGTAATTATTTAAATAAAAACGGGCATAAAATAAAATCCGATATTTTGGCAAACAATTTCAACTTAAGTGCGCTACATCTCATAAAAATTTAGTGTCTGCCGGAGACTGACTACCAACCTCTAAAAAAATTTTGTTTAAACATTTTTAAATTTTTATAACTATTGCAAAATCTGCTCCTACAAACTTCGACTTGTATGGTTGGTACAAATTATAAATTATGTGATGATTGATTATGTGTAACAACCAGGTTTATCATGTTTAACAATAATGATTAATTACCATGTCGATTGTATATTTATGCCCTTGAGAGATGTTTGAGTATCTCGACGTTAACACGAAGTTGTTGACATTTCATTAGTTACTATCTGACAACCTAACGGTGATTGCTTCAAAATCACTATGCATGACAATTCTGAACCAAATGTGTCATGCAAATTTTATAATAAAAAATGTGACGTGTTCAATGCACAGTTTTATAACTACTTATGGGTTCTTTATGTACAATATTGTATAGCCTTAGATATACCTTGGATAGCTTCCAAGGTATAGGCCAGATAAACCGCATTGTTTTGAAAACCTTAAAGGAATTGATATTATCTAAAATTATTATTAGTTTTAAATTCTTTGATTTTTTTATGATGAAAGGAAAATAGAGCTCTTCGAAATGAGGAGCACTCTTCTGTGCTTCGGAAGGCACGTTAAGCCGTTGATCCCGGTTGCATCTGCAGTCGTTGGCACCCACCAATCCGCACTGGACCCACGTGGTGGGTAACGGCCCA